TAGATGATTTAGCTTGAGCCTGGGCTGAATAGCCGATATTCAAATATCTTTGGGTCTGGAAGATTGGAATTGCCGGTGGCAGTGTATGCAAGCGCATAAAGAAGCAAGGCCATAGACCAAATGGCAGGCGGAACCGCATAAGCATAACAACCACTATAAAGCATAAAGCAAATTAAGAATGAACAACTTTGGGGATCGAGATTTGAGAAGACGATGAATAAAAACCAGATTCAAATTAATAAATTTTATTGAAAAAATTATGACAGTGAAAAAAGAACTACATCTAAATATAGAAAAACTAGAAAACAAGTAAATAAAACTACTCTAGACGGATTAAAAAGATGACTAGAAAAACCCCATAGATCGTAAAATCTGCCCATGATATGAACAGGAGTATTGAATTTGGTCTAATTTTAAATATAGAGCTGGAATGCAGAGAAATGATAATTGATCATCATCTGTCGAGGAAGGATTCAACCAATTTTCCTCGATCATTAGGAAGTGAAGAAAAATAACGCAAAGCAGTGGGTGAATATTTATGAAAGGGATCCTCTCTTTCCAAGCCGAAATTCCTCCAGGTTGCCTCCCTCCAATTGGAGTTAAATTCGTTCAGTAGGCGAAGCACATCTTCGCTTCGAAAAGGAGGCTTAAATGGAGGCAAAGAGGATAGTGGTTCGTTCCTCGGTAGATCAGAGCATATAACATCGGGAAGTATGAGGATGCCACGAAATGCAAACCAACCACCATATACAGGATGTAGACTAACGCCTGCAAGTTTTCTTGAGTGCTTAATACGGTCATTGAAGTGGGACGAGTCATTAGATGAAGCTTCCTCAATTCTGTGATAATATGCAAGTCCAGATATATGACCAGCGGTTTGCAGATGGACTGCTGGCATCCAAGTCACAGGATTTATATCATAGTCAGGCACAAAGTGTATATTTTTGAAAAATGATTTTGCATGTGAATCGTTGGCACTTTGATTGTATAAGTCAGATAAGCATGAGTCAATGCGCACATATATAGAAGTGTCTAGGAAATTTCCCCGAACTGGCCGGATCCCTTTGGTCATATCCTTGCAGATCAGCTGAAGGTTAGTACAGTCATAAATGTAGTCCAAATGTGGAAGAAAACTAAGCTCAAACATTGAAGGAGTATTAATAATGCATATACATAAAAATTGATCACATTTATAACGAGTAGATAATTTTAGCGATTTTAGAACTACATCATCGTACCACGTATTGAGAAAAGGAGCTATTGAAAATCCATAAGGCTGGAGGACAGTAGACAAGGGATCAAGAAAAGTTGACTTTATTTCTTTGTAGGATAAATTTAATCCAGACATATCTGAATAATATAGGAAATAGTACAAGATGTAATAAAAAGGCGTCAGTTCGAAAAGGATATTGCAGATAAGATA